CGTGGAGACATGGTGGGACTTCATGTACATGGACACATGGTGGGAATTCCTTCCGGCACCCCCATACCGCAAAGCCAACGGTGGGGAAGGAGAAGTGCAGACGTGCAGGAAGACGAACGAGGAGGAACCAGGACGAGCGAGCAATGGCAGGACTAGCTGGACCGTAAGTAATAGCTGAATTGTGAATGACAACTTGACATCCATGCGGCACTTGCCACTGCATATTTCTTGTCCACTAACAATGTCTCTCCTCTGCCCCCTGTGTGTCCACAGCCCTGTTGCTGAATTGGCCCGATGAATCGAATGTCTTCCGCAACTGAAACGGCCCAATAAACGCTGTCGCGTCGGCGACTGAATGCGCAGGAGGGAAAATATTGCTGCGAAGACGTCTCCTCTAGACCACGGTAAGGCAACCCATTGATATGTTGCCAGTTACCTTCTACTAACACGTTATCAGGTCAAAAAAAATTAATGGTCTACAGTCGTGTCGGAAGGGTACGGTGGGACTGTAGACCTGTTACCTTCTAACACGTTATCACTATATCAGGTCGAGAGCGTATTGTAGTCACTCTCTCTATTCCTGTACTTCATTACGTTTCAGGTGTACGTATAACTTTTCCAAAAAAATTAATGGTTCACGTCTTCAGATAGAGAGCGTATTGCACCCACTGTCTAGTCTGTAGTGCATTGAGATTTTGTTGATCGCACATGAAAATGGATACACAGACAAAGCAGGCCAAGTACATGGCGAGATGTCGCCAGAAGAACGTCTTCAGATAGACAGCGTATTGCACCCACTGTCTAGTCGATTTTGTGGATCGCACATGAAATGGATACACAGACAAAGCAGGCCAAGTACATGAGAGAGTGGACGATGTGCGGATCGACACGGCCTGTGAGTACTTCATTAAAGTTACCCGTGACATAACTAGGATAAAAGTTAATCACAGCAAAGACATTGCCAAGTATGTGAGCACTTGGGACTTGACAGAAGAGTGCACGGGCGACGTTGACAAAACATACCGCGGTGACTGTCACCATCATGACAGCAGGGCACATTGCACGCAGC